TGAAGAAATCCATGAAGTGTAAGAAAAGCAAACATTTAAATGTCTTCAAAGGGAAGATAAGTTATTTCAAGCAGCCTGTAGATATTTACCCTCAAACAGATCTTAAGGGGAAAACAAGGCAAGATTGAAAGGGAAGTAGGCAGCTTAAGGTGTCAAAAGGTTTGGAGTCAGTCTTCATGTCTGCCGTCCTTCCCCGCAAACCTTAGACAAGTCACTTCATCCAGCCTATGTCTTTCCACCTTCTGCTCCTGTCCACCCTCCTTGTAGATACCTTTGCCATGTATTTCAGCGGAGAGTCTTGCAATAGCTCCATTGGGGAAAGCTTTTCTGTAGCCGCACTTATTCTGAAGCTGATGTTTTCATGTGTATTTCTTTACCTCTTCATACTGCCTGTGATAGGGGGGTTGAAATTGGATGATCTTTAATGTCCCTTCCAACTCTAACCATCCTATGATTCTGTATGATTCTATGATCCTATGATTCTATAATCTTGTCTGTGAGTTAGTTGATTGCTTTTCTAATCATTGGCAATCCTTTTTATTAGTAATTGATAAACAGTCTTCTTGAAACCATGAGCCTTCGTAAAGAATTGTTACAGGACAGAAGTAAGCCTGAAGCACAATTTTTTTGTGCAACTTAAGTTCCTTACTCCCTTTGGCTTTCAGGAGATCTTGGTGTTCAAATGCCACCTAGATCCTGGGCCTGACAGCTCCACAGGGGAGGGTTCAGGTCTGAGGATAAATCCATCCTTCCTTTTAATCCACAGGCAGCCTGGGACCTCTGCCCTTGAGTATTTACTTTTTCCATTATTTGTACCCTTGCTCAGGCCCAAAAAGAAAGGATACTGCAGAGACTGCATAGGCAGCAGCAGTGTACTGCCTACATTTTGAATCAGTAGGTGTTCCAGATTCTTTTATTTCAGTGATCTTTATCAAAGAAAAACCTTCTTTGAAAATGTATTTAGCTGAATTTTATCTGAACTTTCTCCAGCTCTAAAATCAAGATGAATTCTTCTCTTACATCTTCTTTCTTACTTCTTTCTCTTACAGAAAAAGAAAGCACCATTTCTGTGGTAAGGTATCTCCAGGGTGAAACATGTCTTGGACAACTGCAAATTTTCAGCCCAATTTTCACAGTCAAATTATAAACCACGAAGAAAAGGTGGAATTTACAGTTTAGATAGTAGATTGCTTATAAAATTAATGATGTTAATGATGGCAGCTGTAAAAAATATATGGGCAGATATAAGTTCATGAAGAATAGAAACATATTTATTTGCTTTGGTCAGGGAGAGAACCTGTGATTAAGTCCAGTGGCCTAATGAGTTCACAGCTAATGGGTCAGCTATAGGACCTGTCCATGTGCATAGTCTTCAGATGTATGATGTGCTCTGGCTTAGCTAACCCTTAATGGGAAAGGGGTGAGCTTTGACCTTGCATTTGGGGTGGGCAAAAGGCATGCTCATACAACTGTGTAATGGATGGCAGTTTTAAGCCACATTATCTTGACTGTGTTTGAGCTCTACCTCCTCATGGTGAAAGTAAATGCTGTAGGTATGTGTGGTTACACTCTGTCATCCTGGTCTGAGAAGGCGGGGAACTGAAACTATTTTTGGCAGCAAGAAATCGCTAAATCTGAAGGGTTTCAGTCTCGTTTCTCAGCCCAGTTGGCATACCAGCCATGGGGCCTGTGATTACATGATCACCTCGTAAAGGACACTAGCCTCACCCTTTTGTATTTTATGAGAACACAATTAATTCTTTCTTGCACATCACTGATGAGGTCCCAGTTGTAGAATCATCACTGGTGGTACAAACCAAAGAGTTAGAAGTGACCCACTGGGACTTTCTTGCAATGTTCATCCTTGACACTGGTTGCAAGAGAATTACTTTTTGGTTGTGGATGGAACCTGTAGCATTTGTAAAACAGACAGCTTGCAAAATAGATGTAGACAGTAGGTTATGGTGGCCACCTATAGTCTTATTTAATTCTCACAGGCTTCATCCTGCATTCTCTTAATTTCTGTCCACTCCCTGCCTATTCCCATGCCCAGGCTGTGTTTAGGCTGTATGTCAGCCTTATCAGACCATCAGACCATTTTCTGATTTCAACCTGAATGACAAGAAACCTCTTACACAGTGTGACTCTCACAGGGCCTGTGAACTCAGTGAATCTGATCTGTGTAGTAGTGAGCTCCTTAGATGATGATGAAAAATGTTTTTTTTTCTCAACTTGTGATGTTCTGTGTACTGAGTACACCCTGGTTCATAGCCCTCTTTTGCTAAGATTTGAACAGATGATTCTATGATTCTGTGATTCACCTAAACCCGGTTCACCTAAGCACTAACATGGCAGACTTTACAATGTACCATACAATTGTTCTGATACTTATCAGTTTTACAGAGGGAATTCAGCAGTGGGACATGCAGCTTGAGGGTGTCAAGCAGATGATCTTTGAAGTCAGGAATTGCAACTGAAGAGGTGACAGTCTGAGGATGCTCATCCCAGCTCTCCGGCTCTTGGTTCCTAACTCATAGCACAGCTACATCAGGAGTTATCATCACATATGATTTTCTTCAGTCCAGAATCAACAGGATAAAACTCATGAAACTAGTTGAAGCAAATCTGCTTGAGTTCCCACTCACATAACCCATTAAGTTGTCACTGTAGGAGATATATTGGTTAAATGCATTGGATAGTCATCTTAAAACAGTCATCTTAAATCATTACAATTGGCTCTACAGCTTATCTAAACATTCAGAACAAAACAGATTTCTTTGCTTTCACAGACAGTAGGAACTTTAGGTCTTTAAAGTAGAGGAGTCTTGCTGATGTATTGGTTGAACGCATTGGTAGGTTTTAGTGGTTATTTGGAGGTTAGGAGGCCTTGTGTTTGTTTGTTGGTTTGTTTGGTTTTTTTTGGTGTGAGAGTTTAATAGAGATAAAAACAAAATCAAAATCACTTATGTATCACTTAGCAATCCAACAGTGAAGATCCCCAGGATCTACACAAAGAGAGATCATTCTATTTTTATGTGTATAAGTGGATTTGGGTAGTTCTCCTTAGTTATCCAAGCTGGAAAGCATTGGATGCTGTTTACTTATTTTCTCAAATAGAAGTATTTCTTTTTAAAGAGAGATCTCTCATTCTGTCCTGAATGGACAGAGAGCCTGTCCATTCTGGGGAGAAACCCTGGAGTCAGATTTCTTTTCATGCTTAAATCTGTAAGTCACATTCTGCCACAACTTTGCTGTGGGCTAGGGGATGAGAGCTAGAAATGTGCAAATAGACACATGGAAAGCTCTACTAGGGACTCGAGAGGTCACTGCTGGTACCTATGAGAAAAGTTGGTTAGGCAGGGGACAACATTGCAATGAAAAACTGACAATTCAGGGTGGACTCTGAAGTTAGAAGACAGCTTCCCCAAAGGGTCTTGTATAGATAAAGCAGTACTCTGTACTATTATACAAGTTTCCTCATGTTCTGCTCATGTGTGATAATTTTCTTACTGATTCAAGACATCAAGCTTCTTGCTGTCCTGACCTGCCTGCCAAAAAAGGACAGTGGTATTGGTGTCCAAGAAGAAAAAATTACTCAACAGTTTATTCCCCTGCATTGTAATATGTATTCTACATCACATTTTTCCTTCTCCACTGGTCCCAGATGACAAAGGCTCCCCCTCTGCAAGCTGCAAAGCAGCCTCTGTTCAGGAATGTCATTACTAGAGGGGCTTTAAAATAAAGCAGGGCACACAAAAATGTGATGACTTGTCAAAAATGCAGACTGCAAGGTGTTTAAGGCATGAATTTCCTCTTAATGAAGCCTCGCCAAGGGAATATTGCATTCAGCCTGGAGTGCGAGCGATGATGTATCACAAATTTATGGCTGTCCCCTAGTGTTTCGCAGAGTGAGGAAGGGGGCGTGAAAATAGTCACACAAGGAAGGGCTTGTAAAATCACCACCATTCAAACCATTGCTTGGCCCTAAGCCATAGCTGTCAGGGGTTTTCAGAGTACTGGGGTGCAGCACAACTCAGAAGGACCACCGATTAGATGCAAAAACCTGTGTGGATTTTGTCTGGGTGGGCAGCCCACAGATGTTTTGGGTGGGTAAGACATTGCAGGGGTTTAATCATTTTCATGGGCTGCATTGAAAAGGAATGCACTGAAATAAGTTATCAGTCAGAAAATTGCTTCTGCTGATCCCAACAGTCACATTCACCTCTTCTGCCCCAAAATAAATGGCCTGTTAATTCCATCTGAAACAGAGGAGAGGTGATGGCTTCAGCAATGGGGGTTGTGAAGTCTTCCCCTCTTGGCAGATGGGCTCTTTGAGTAGGAAGAGTCAGTCACCATCTGTCACTGGGACTGGTGCACATGTGTATCAGGCATCTTGTAACATTCATCACCTGCTCATTCCTGACTTGGGAGGGGGAAGAGAACCTTTTCTGGCTTGTTCCTGGTATCCACCAGGGATATTATCCACCATCCATGGCTAGGTGAGGGTGTCTTGGAAAGCCAAATTCAAGTGTGAGATAAACACTGGCTTGTGCAAAATTTCCTCAGTCTACAGGTAGATACAAGGTATTTCTATTGCTTGAGTGAGCAGGAATTCATTGATATATATGTGGCCATTTCAGCCTGGAGGGACACAGCCTGGCAGCGATCAAGCTCAGGTCAGATATTTATTCCCACAGCTCCTGCAGCCAGAGACCAACCTCAGGTAAGATTGTGGGCATTCTTCTGCTCCATGCTCCACATACCACATTATTTATTGTTCTTTATTTTGATAATAGGTCTACTGTATGTGGGGGAATTTACAGAACAGGAGAAAGACTGCATTTATGAGAGGAGAAGGGAGAAGTGTTTGCTTTGGCAGAGCCCTGAACACAAAGGAATTATTCTAGAAGATACATGCTGCTTTGCTACCATGAGATATTCTCCTTGCAGCCCTCCTGGAATAACCCTTGAGAACAAGATAGGATGCAGGATGGGACAGAAAAAGAGGTCAAACTTTACAGGGTTCATGAAGCTGTCTTTCTTCCTACAGCCTCACCAGTGACTTCCAAATTTGCCTGAGGTCAGAGCTGGGGCTGGCACTGATAAGGATGTGAGTGAACTTGTCTGCACAGGTGGAGCACGGGGATTGATTTTCTTTGGGTTGCATTTTCTAACTGGCTGCGTTTCACCACTGACGTCCTTCAGGAAATGGAATGTACACACTGGGCCATGTTCAACATCATTTAGAATCAGCAGAGTTGCAATAGTGACAACTTTGGTCCTGTAATGTTAAAAATGGCTCCACAGCTTGTTTCTTTGACTATCAAATAACCTTTCTTTCCGCATCATTCTTCTTTCAGGGGGGAAAGATGTCTTGTAGCGCCTGGAAGAGTGAGATTGTCACAGGCGATACAGGTAATTGCAGAAAGGAGCGTTGTATCTCTCATTTTATTTAGAGGCACATCAAGGTATGAGGAGGTGAAGCAGGTCACACACCAGGTCACTGGGATTAGAATTCATGTCTCTTTTCCCAGGCCAAGCCTTAATTTGGAGCCAAATTTGACTTGACAGTATCCTTTTAAGCCTGGAATTTTACAGGCTATAAATGTAAAATGATCAGTTCTGACTAGAACACCTTACTAACATTAACAAATGGAAAAAAAAAAAAAAAGAAGAAGGAAAAAGGAAAAAACGAATAGCATGAATGTATTAATTTCATGGGCTGATCTTAGTCCAAAGAGACAAAAAAGGTGGAAAAGAACCCTAAACCTACAGAATATTTTCAATCAGAAGTCAGACTTTTATCTTTCATGATTCCAAATCATTTGAGATCTTTCACAGGTAATTTGAAACAGCTGACATTTTCCCTACATGAAAGAATAAATATTTAATTTGCACTGCCGATCTGGGAGGAAGAATTCTAATCTTATTTGCTTAGCTTCAGCAGAGACACATCCTGCAATATCTTCTGTAATTACTGCCTCAGTACTACACATGGCGTAAATAATTTAATTAGGAGTCCCAAGGGGGAGGATCAGTCAAAAACAATACAAACCCAGTATTTAGAAAATGGGGTTTAAGTTCCATCCACTTTTCTGGGTTAGTGGTTCCAAGGTGGCAAAAGCCAACAGCATCGTAAGGTCAGTTCCCGGAGGTATCTGGGATAATGGTTTCCATAAAGACAAGCTGGTGGTCCTTCCTAGTTAGATGCCTGTCAAGTCCAAGCCACTACTGCTCTTTTGAAGCTACTAGTCATCTCTTTGGCAGCCTCTGTGGGAAAGTCAAGGGTTAAATGTATTTCTGAGGAAAGCAAAAACTTGATTATCTGAAGGTGGCCATATGAAAGAGCCCAGCAGGCAAGATTTAGGCCAAATCTACAATAGTCATGATTGTATGGCCTTGTTATTAGATTATATGTCCTTCTTCTGTCTTTCTAACCCAACTTTTGGAGTAATTTTTATCATTCTTGTTTCTAACACAGTTTTAAGATCAGTTGGGAATGGGGTATAGCAAAAATGATCACAGATTTGGAAAAAAATAACATGATCAAAGATGGAAAGAAATAATTTTTTATTCTGGAAGTAAAAAGATAGAGGGGAAATCAAAGAACTTAAACTATCTTATATGCAAGGCCATATACTTTGGCTAGAAGAAGCAAACCAATACTTCTTCAGGGAAATGATAAAGTAATGGGACAGGATTTCTTTGTGCTACTGAAAATAGTCACAGAAGCAGCCAAGTCAAAGATTGAGTATGTTATCCTGATATGGACACTTAGAATGGGTTCAGTGAATCTTATTTTAGGAATGCTTGTTTACCTTGATCGACTACAAAGGGAGCCTTAGGTAGGTAAGTTCATCTCTAGATGTTTAAACAGCACCAGTTTACAGAGAGACAACGTGAATATTCATAGAATCATAGAATTATAGAATAATTTGGGTTGGAAGGGACCTTAAGCTCATCCAGTTCCAACCCCCTACCATGGGCAGGGACACCTTCCACTAGACCAGGTTGCTCCAAGCCCCATCCAACCTGGCCTTGAACACTGCCAGGGATGGGGCAGCCACAGCTTCTCTGGGCAACCTGTGCCAGGGCCTCACCACCCTCACAGGGAAGAACTTCTTCCTTTTATCTAACTAAATCCCCTCTCTTTCAGTGTAAAGCCATTCTCCTTGTTCTACCACTACATGTCCTTGTAAAAAGTCCCTCTTTGGCTTTCTTGTAGGCCTCCTTTAGGTATATTTTCTTTGAGATATTGTCTTTGGAAAAAGCTTTCTAGTGCCACCTGTAATACAGTGAAAGGATATGTCACTTTGGAGAAGGCATGGAACATTTGTTATTAGAGTACAAGTTATATATGAATATTTGCCATGGTAAAATTTCTGTGTTTGATGCTTCCTTTATGTGAGGTACAGCTTATGATCATTGAGATTTCTTTCAGATGGTTTTCTGAACCATCTTTCTTTGGGTAAGAATATGGCCTCTGCCAGAGAGAAGGGTTCAGAGATATTCATCCAAAGTTGACAGGAATTACAGAGCTAGGAGCAGAGATGTTGTTTAACATCTAACAGAGCAAGACCGGGGCTTACTGCCACAGTCCTTTTGTAGGATTTTAGGTGAGTCATCAGGGGTCTGTCTGATTCAGTTGCTCACACATAGGGCCATTTGACATGTCCTCAGACAGTCTGGCTACTCACCAGCTCATGAAGGTTTCCCATGGGCCTTGTGTCAGGTCTGTCAGCAATTTGTGCATGTTGCACACCTGAAGAAACCCAACTGGCTGCTGCTATTCACTGACAACTGAAACAAGCTCCTAAGATTGTTCTACAGCCAAGGAGAGATGGTACTTCCAGTGAACATCATTGTTCTTCATGTACTCAGAAAATCACCTGCTGAAGCTGCCTCTTGCTCTCCCTGGACTGTTGGTTTAAGAATTTATCTTGCCCTCTGGCTGATTTGGCAGACATGCAGAAAACACACAAACCCAAATATTTCTTCTCTGTTCAAAGTAGGATATTTCTTCTACAATGCACAATTTCAGTTCAGAACAAGCATGGAAAATAAAACAGGATCTGCATTTCAGAGAAGCGTGTATTGGTTTTCCATCACCTGAAATTTGTCATCTGCTGGACATTCTAGTGATGTCACTGTCTCCATAGTAGCAAACTGACATCACTGTGGGAGGATGGTGGCTGAAGTCAGGGTTGGAATTTGCAGGTTCATGTAGGAGATAGCCTTGAAAAAGCAACCAAGTAGAAGAGAGGAGTGAAAACCACAGACCATAAGTCAAATGATTCGTATGTGCAGTATAATTCATAATTTATGTAAATTATAGTTCCAGCTGAATGGACATCTTGGATGTCATGTAAAAATAATTTCTGCATAGGATGAGTATGCAATATAAAGAAAGTGTGGTAAAAGAGAACTAAAATCAGCATATTCTTTTTCCAGACTGGATGCTGTATCACATCACAGCCTCTAGAGTAGAAGCAAGGGTTGGAAATGGACCTTTAGAAACTTAGCTTGGTGCAATAGTATTTTCCTTCTACCCCTAAATATCTGGTAAAGATCATAACACAATGGCCCAGGCAAAATGTAAACCTTCAGCGTATTCATTTAATTGTGCTTCCTGCTTTCCATTCTAGTATTCCTTGGTTATCTTTTGGGGTTATCTTTTTTGACAAGCACCTGTTTTCCTCCATACCAGGTTCCATGATCATAAGAACCTCAGTTTTGCATAAATTTCACCAATGATCTTGGAATTAAAACTGAGATTCAGTCTGGTATTGGTGCCCTGTTTGACAATTGTTCCTTGGCTTCTGACACTTTTTATTCCTCTAGCTATCTCTGTGATGTTATGGTGATCTTCCCAAGGCAGTGACAGCCATCACGTGTACATACAGACAGACTGGATCACATCCCTGAGGTACCAGCACGCATATCAGCCACCTATTACTAAACATTGGCTCCATCCATGCTGCAGTCTGCATCTGCCTTTTTACTCTTCAGTCTCAGTGCAATTGGCCATACACACATGGATATCTCTAGTTCAAATGGAGACACTGACCTGTGTGGTCTTCATACAGTAAAAGGGAAGATTCAGGTGCCTAAATAGGCACCTAGTACCATTTGGTAGGCCATGGAGTGTCAACATGTTAGCGACTCCTCCAGACGGCTGGATTACCTGTAAATCTTGTGTTGCATCTGCCAGACCCGTATCAAACTCCCACCCTCTTTGGCATCTCCAGTGACCTCTGGCCATGGGTTGGCAGCTGATTTATGCCCATTTTTTACTTCTAACAGAAAGCAGATGATTCCTGTTGAGAGTTGCTTGCTCAACTCACCCAAGAAGGCATTAAAAGAGGGAAAGAATTGGATTTCAGCTCCTTAGTTTTAGAGTCTTGGCTCGAACTACTGCTCTATCCTACTTCTAGCTCTGCTGGGTCACATCTAAACATGTATGCTGGGCCTGCCCGCTCCCCTCTAAGCCCAGGACTTTTATATCCCATGCAGGGCACTTTGAACTAATTCCAACCAAGTCAGAAAGAGACATTGTTTCCTGTTTCTACAACACAGCCCACTCCTTAATCCTTTTATCCAGCTACTATTGTGCCAGCTTGTCCTTGTGTTCCTGTTTGACCTCATCTTGATTTTTTCACCCACAGGCTCCATTTCTACCCCCTGCAAAAGGCATGTGCTTTAAACCAGTAAAATGGAGTGTCATGGTAATGACTGCTACTGCTGAACCCAGGACATGGAGTTATGTGCTTTTAGGGAAGAAACTCTTGCTCACGTGTGCATAAACACACACACTCTACAGGTCAGCCTTTGCCAGTGGTTTCACCTCTTCCATTCCCCAACCAGCTGTGATACTGAACAAGTCACTTAACCTCTCACTGTCTGAGTTTACCCAGCCATAAAATGGGGATAAAAATACTTCACCTACCTCAGACAGGACACGTGGTTTAATTCCTTCGTGTTTTCAAAGTGCTTTGAGTTCCTGAGCTGGACAAGAATTGCCTTAAATTTTCTCAGGTGACTAAGGTTTGCAGTGTCCAATTTGACATATATTAAAATGGTCTTTCTTGTGCTTGCTTGATTGCTTCAACACCAGAACTTGCCAGGAAACCTTATGCAAATTGTTTGTTTGTGCTTTTTTTCTTTTAATAAGGAAAATGATTTTTGTGACAGAGAGCATGTATCTCAAAGAATCATTGTGTATTAGGACCTGGTTGCTGAGATTTTTGTCCTGTGTTGCTGTTGTCCAACTACAGGCAGATGCTGCAGCTTATCAGGTGGACACATACCAAGATCCAATGACAAAGAGCTAAAGTTCAGAATATTCAGGTTCAACTAAATCCCTGATTTTTTAGAGTCTGGGGTATTAACCACTAAAACAATTTCACAAGAAGGCAAATTAGATTTGCATCATCAAATGCCCTTCCAAAAGTGATGACCCAGGCCAGGAAGAATATTTTAGAGGAGCTGCATGGATGTCTGAACTCTCTATTACCTTAAGAGTAAGTTCAGACCTCTGGTGTGAACTCTTTTATTGCCTTATTAGTAAGTATAATGGCTGCTGCTCTGTAATAGCTCCCCTCCCACTTCCCACTACTTTTCCAGGCTGAAAGGTTAGGGAATACATGAGTAAATATGGCATTTTTATTACAGCGACCCCTGCTAAGGTAAGCAGCAAGTGTACGAGCTAGATAGAGATGGCAACTGAGAAGTACCAGGTAGAAGGAAATCTTCCCCTTCTGGACACAGAAGTAAGTGATTCTCCATCATTTACCAAAAAAGAAGACAGACGCTGGCTGAAATAATTGATTTTCATCTGTCTTTCCCATTTTCCTCAACAGCTACATGAGTTTTGGAGGCTGTGCAGATACATCTCTTATTTTTTTTTCCCCTCACTTTTCTTTAACATGCTTGCTTCATAACTTTTTTCACCTCTTCTTTTCATCCCTCACGCCAGCTTCTGCCATTCACTTTCACGTTACTGTGCCCTAACAGCAAATTAATCACCTAGTGCCAAAGGCAACATACATCACCCTGTGACTGCTCCTTCTGCTTCCACCCATGACCTTTAGAAACAAAATAGCCAAGTGCAAACAAGAAGAGATAAGGGCTCATTTCGAACACAGCATTCTTATTTGCTTCAGGTGTGATTTATAAAGTTGTCACTGAGTTCTGTTGGCAGCTGCTGATGCAGTAGGAAAAGTTGTTCCTGTATCCCACTCAGCAATGGGAAGTTATTTAACTCTTAAATTTCTGGACCAGACATATCCAGCTTCTGGGCAGAGCACATCACTCAGGGGATCCGTCAGGTGCCAAGCAGAGCATCCCTCCCAGAGCCACAAACCTCACAACAGCAAACAAATAAATGGTTTCTCCTCTCTTCTTAATAATCTGCATAGAGTATTTCCATCAGTTCCTCTTAGGTTCTTTTCCCCCAGCATTTTCTTAAGTACATACAGCTGTCCTAGTCTCACCAGTCTTTGTGAGTGATGCCAAAGGCTCCTTAGCCTTATGACACTTATCCCAGCATGCAGGTTTAGTATTTCTCTCTCCCCCACCCCCTTCTTGCCATTCATTTGAGGACTGAGAAGTGGCTGTAGGTAGAAAGTGGCATTTAGGTTGTTTTTACAGACATTATTACACTGTCAAGGCAAGGTGTAAGGCAAGGCTGTTGAAGAAAGGGATTTGACAAGTGCATTTATTTTAACAGGCAACACAATTCAGCCCATTTAAAAACAAGGCAAGTTTGCAAATGCTTCTGGGAATCAGCTCTGCAAATACTGGTGTCCATAGGTTCTCTAAAGTGTAATTAAGGCAGGAGTTGACTGACTGAAGAAAAATAGAATGTCAGCAATGAAGGCAATTATAGAAAAAAGCAGACCCTTTACACTACTGTTCTGTTTTGTGTTCTAGCCTAGAAATTTCCTTAAGAAAAAACCTTATGGCCTAACCACTCTGAAGCCAATAGTAAAACTCTTCACTGGCTTTAGCACTGCCAAGATCTAAGCCCCAAAATAAAGTCAATATCAAGGAAGGCTCCAACAACACTGTTTTTCAAAGGTTTCCTTTAGATGACCCTCCTCTAGATCACAGTGACAATCCATAATTACAGAAGCCTGAAGATGGCTTGAACTGGGATAATCCAACTCTGATAAATGCATGAGAATTATCTAGTGTAAGCTTCACCTACATCAACTCTCCAGTTCAAGTTCTCCCAGTCGAGTTTGCATTGTGTGCCCTTGTACCATGATTTGTCTTCCCTCACTCTGCAGGATGCCACTCACCACACTTGGCAAGCATGTTAACAAAAATGGACACAGACCACAGTGCCCTCATAGAGAAGGGCTTCCTTCATGGAGACATGACTCATCTCTGTAACCTCAGAGCGTGGCCATTCCTTTAGCACATAACCTCTTGTGCCAGCCTCTCGCATCTCCTAATTCAAAGAATATAGTACTTGGATCTACACACCATGTACAGAATCAGTTTTCCAGATTACACAAACCTCACAGAGAAAGCTCTTTCTTTAGATATCTGGCATAACGTACCCAAACTCAGCCTGGCTTGCTTCAAAACTTTGCTAAAAAAACAACCAAACAAACAAACAAAAAAAAAAAAAACAAAAAACCCAGGATAATAAGTTTTCATCAAATTCATTAAAATTAACCAAAATGTATTTCTTGACAGCAGCTTTTTTCCCTTTCAGGGAGGGTTGGAAGGAGCTTCTACCTCCAGAGCCTCACCAGTGGGAGATGTAGTATTAGAAACACAACCGGGCAGCTCCAAACTGCAATTATTGGAGCTCTCTCTTTCATTTTCTTTTTTGCTTCCACTCTTTTCCTTCTGAAAATCACTACACAGACCGTATTGCTTTCCACACTTTGGTGCAGGCACATTAAATGAAAAGCACGTAGATGTATTTGGAGAGGGGAGAGAAACACTGATTGCCAATGGTTTTGTGTATTGAACTGTATTGTAAATACTTCTCAAAACACTAGCAAGGAAATCATTACAATTACCCTTAATTTATAGATGGTGAAACAAAGACATGGGGATGCAAAATGAGTCACTGAAGACCATTCAGTAGATTCATAGCAGAGACAGACATGTCCTGAAAGCTCTTCAATAGTCACACACAAGACCTTACATTAGTTGTTTTGCAAAGTTTATAAAAATTACTTGTTTGGAGCCTGTGAAAAAGTACCCTTATAAATCCTGCTGTGATCTCAGAATATCTTTCTTCCCACCAGTTCATTCCTAATTGCTACCACAGCTTCATATAGATCTTCATAAGGAGAGTGCTCGCAGAAGTGTCTGTACCATCCTTCGCCAACAAGAGCTTCTGGGAAAGGCTTCAGGGATCCGCCAGTCTGCAAGACATGATGAATGCCATGTGATGTTGGCAGATTTCAGAAGCAGATGCACACCTGCTGACAGGAATTTCTATTTTCCACTTCAATTAAGGTGCAGAGTTAAAAAATAACCACAAGGAGCTGTTAAACCAAATTGGTAACAACCGTTTTCCTACCAGGTTACTGACAGCTTCTGCAAAATGTTTGCAAAAAGGTGTCCAGGTAGAAAAATAAAGCTTTAGGGCCAGGCCTGGCAAAATCTCAGTCCCCTCTAAAAGGTGCTAAATGTCCTCAAATCCCCATGGAGGATGCTTGCTAATTTTGAGATGTTATTACAGCATAAATGAGGTCACAGTCTGGGGAACTTGCCTAAATGGGAGAAAAACAATACCTTTGACATGGTGTGTGGCTTTTACCAGAAGAGCTGACCCCTGAGATGCAGCCCCACAGTCAGGATGGCTGGTTACAGTCCCAGTGAATGCAGCCCTGAAGAACGCTTGAGTTGTAGTTCCTACACCCAATAGCCCTGCTGGTTTTTTTAGGTGCTTAACTCCACTGCTGAGACACCATTAATACCCTCAGAGTTCCTCCTCAACATCTCACATGTGGGCTGTTGCATTTCATTCAACTGCTTGAACCCAGAGCTGTCCACAAACTGAGAGCTGCTCAGAGGGCTGGTTACAACTGAAGTAATTTGCCACTCACAATAGTTAGGGTTGCTTTTCTTAGTCATCTATTCCATTTCTTTCCACACAAAACAGTGTGCATAAACCTGGCCAGCTGATAGAGGGATGTATGACTGGTGTTAGCACCCACTTTCAAGAGAAAAGTGATGGTGGAGTCATAAAAGCATCTCTGCAGGGAGGATGCCAACCAGTGGCCTCTATGGCCCCATACTACATCATTCCTACAAAGAAGCAGATATTTGAAGATCCTTCTAATAATCCCACACTCCCTGAAATGTGAGTTTAAAGCTTCTGTTCCACCAAGGATTTGGTTACCTCATGAAATGGTACCTAACCGCTAGGTGTTGCAGGGCCAATGAATATTTGAGTCTAGGGAGCACAGACTGAAGCAAGAAGTGCTGGAAAAACACAGGATGTAAATGAACTCTCTTTCTTCTTAGTACATGTGCTTCAGAGCAACATTTCTGCAACATGAGAAGGGGAGTAATTCGATAAGTGATGCAGATGCTGCCTGGTGAGTCTTTCTTGGAGAAGATCTCCCAGACATGTACAGAACACTCATCACCTTAGCACCAAAAATATTTCATGTCTCTCAGAAAACACATTCTGTTCCCTGGAGCCCAATTTTTAAGATGTCATAAGTCTGAAAGACTTGTGACAGATGTAAAGACACATCCACTTAGAAATTTTTGTTAAAATCACGACAGCACATAACAACTGTCTGCACTGTTGACACACACATGCCCACACAAACACACCCCCTGCAACTCTGGTAGCTCTGCAGAGTTACCAGGTAAGAAGATAAACTCTATTCCACCTTGTTCTCCTTGAGGACAAGGGCTTAGAGAAGAGAAAATCTTTGCCAACCATCCTTCTTTCTTCCTGATTTCTGGTTGCTGACACCCTAACTCCTCTGTCCTGAGAAGACATATAGACAAGTCAGATCCTTTAATCTTCATGTTCCAGTAGACAGCCTTGTGAAATTAATAGTTTATATTACAAAGGTGAACCCAGAAAACTTGAACAAACGAAAAGTTGTTTGTTCAACTTGAACAAAACAGAACAACTGGGCACATTTGGCCTCTGCTACACATCTGTGTAGACATAACTTCAGTGAATCTTGAAATCACAAATGTGGCACCTGTCCTGTATTAAGATACTTGTTTTTTTTTTTCCCAAGAACTAGGCTTTTTCCTGTTTGGCTAGCATTGGTATCTGCAGTCTCCTCCAGAGCAGGATTTAAATACCAACTCCACTAGGCAAGACAGATACTTCACTGAAAATCACCAGCACATTAAGATGACCTCACCATGAGATTAACCTACGATGATGTCAGTGAGTCTTGGTACAAATTTATTAAAGATCTAAAAAAAAAAAAAATATACCTTTGCCTTCAGAAGTAGCCACGACCAACACCATTTGCAGACTTACTCAAACACTTCAACATTTCAGAGCCAAAGGGAGATTTCAACTGAATGTCTTGGAAATTGTTAGGTCCTTCAAGATGGTGAAAAGCCCAAGAAGTGAGCAGCTGTCGTCTTCTAGATTGTATGTACATGATTGCCCCCTTCTGGGGCATCTCAGAACAGTTCGCCTGTGCTTAGTGCCAGAGACCAGCAGATGCATCTTCACTGATGTAGCCGTGCTCTGCTGTCACACTCCTTTGTCATGAGCTAAATTCTTATTCCAGCATTCACCCTCATTTGCTGCTTAAAACCTTCTAGGGAAGGACTTTTTGCATCATTATCATCCCAATCCTTCATGTTTATTTCTATTTAGGACATTATGTATTCACAGGACAATGAGGACCCTTCTCTTCCACATATTCCCTGGGGCAAGATACCCATAGTATCTCCTTCCTATTCTCTTCCCAATAATTTTTATTTTTCTGTTGTAAAGGTCTTCCACTTAATCTGTAGCATTAGGAGGGGTGATGTGAGTGGTACTGGAAAAGAAGAGGCTATGCTGTGAACCATCCTAAGAAACCATCCTACTAAACAGTGAATAGGGGTACTACTTCCACCTGCTCTGAACAAATACAAAATAAGACATTCTTCCTTTCCCTAAGACCCTGCCACCCACCTTGTGTCTATCAGACTGGAAGTTCTCTCAAACCAGGTAAGCCCTTTCCTGCTTGTTTGTCCCCATAATTGTAAATCACAGTGGCCTCCTGCAGCTGAACACCCTCCTTGGGTCCCATTTCAGCAGCAGTGCTATACGAGCTCTGAGGGCAGTCACAAGGGAGTCCTAAGCCTAAGTTCTTTCAATGCTTTGCTTATATTTAGCCTTGCAACATTACCTTACCTCTTTTTAGGTTGTTCCCATGACAACCAGCCCAGCAATAAAAATCAAGTGTTGGCTGCAGGATAGGGGAATGAGGGTAGGGGAGGCAGTTTCATGCCAGATGAGGAAACAAGGCTCTCAAGTTACTCCAACCCCACCTACTGTGTTATCTGGAGCAGAGTGCCTCTTTACCTCAATGCAGAGCTGCCATCAAGTGTAGGAGAGTGCCAGGAAAGTCTGGTGTATTGTAACAGGTTTTAAGACTTCTGTGGGATTTTCAATGTCAGTGGAAAAGGCTCATTTTGTGCTGTAGCACAGCCCATGGCAACAGGGTCATGAAATATGCACAAATAAAAACACACTGCACCCTTTGGACATTTCTTTTTTTCACAGCTTTCCCCCAGGGCATCCCAGAAAGTTCAGGCACAAGTGAGGTTGTGTGCCACTGAGAAGCTGGGGGGAGAGGAGTCTGCCTACAGCTAGATCATAGCATCCTATCATAGAAACATAGAACAGTTTAGGTTGGAAAGGACAGAATCACAGAATCATTATGGTTAGATGGTTAGAGATTGTCTAGTCCAAACTCCCTGCCCTTAAAGACCACCTAGTTCTAAACCCCCTGCCGTGGACAGGGACACCTTCCACTAGACCAGGTTTCTCCAAGCCCTGTCCAGCCTGGCCTTGAACACTGCCAGGGATGGGGCAGCCACAGCTTCTTTGGGCAACTTGTTCCAGCACCTCACCACCCTCACAAGGAAGAAATTCTGCCTAATATCTAATCTAAATCTACCATTTTTCAGTTGAAAGCCATTCCTCCTTGTCCTATTCCTACCTGCCCTTGTAAAAAATCCTCTCCAGCATTCTTATGGACCCATTTAAGCACTGGAAGCTGCTCTAGGTTCTCCCTGGAGCCTTCTCTTCTCCAGGTTGAACAAGATGGTGGGAAATTTAGGGTCTGTGTATGAGCTTCCAGCTTTGAGAGTTCTACAGGAAGTCTGTCAGCTGTGTGACATCTTCTGAAGGGCTACAAAGCAGATATTGTAGAGGAAGGCTTCATGTCATGGTGAGCTTTCAAGGCTAGAGAGAAGGGGGTTTGTAGATCAGGAGACGGTAAAAACTGTTCTGATGTGAAAGGTTTATTCTGTAATACCGTGGCCTCCCTATATTCCTATTCCTGCCTTTTAGGGGATAAGGTTTACAACTCATGGGACAGATCCTCCAACTGTTTAATTTGAAGTACAAACAGCAAGCATGCCTCCCATAACAGGAGTGACCCCCTGTGTACTGACCTCCTCTAAGAAAGATTACAAGTCCTATTTTAATTCCGGTCTTATTGTGAGATGAACTGCTTCCCATCCTTCCAAGTGCTTAGCATGAGTCCCCAGTATCCTCCCAGGCAATGCTTGAACTCCTTTGCCCAAAAAGGAGAGATTTTTCTTTGATAGGAAGTGTAAACAGGACTAGACTCTATATAAATCTGTACTGAGATCTGTTTTTAAATGTATCCTACGCAGCTGAGTGATGAACCGCCAGATGCATTTGTTACTCATGCTCCTCTGAGATACAAAGGCTTGCAACAGATTGCTTTCTTTTACTGCGATATCACTTTTAATATCATCTTCAACACCAATCTTGCTTTTACACACTCAATCTTCCAATATAATTTCTTACATTTATAACAAATATTGCACTACCTATATTTTGTTTCTTCATGAAGAAAAAAAAATATTGAAAATATGAGAAAATGAGAGCTGCAAAATCCTCCAAAGATTTCAAGCCCTGTCTCCAAAACTGGCAAGCCAAATTTTAGTTTTGAGAATTTCTACATTCCTTATCAAGAAGGCAATGCTTACTTCGGGAGGCCTCCATGATATCTTTGAGTATGAATCAATATCTTATCATTCTTGACCAGCAGGAGACATTGTATTTGAAGGAAACAATGAAGCTTATATCTAGCCAAGGGTGAAGACTGGTGCATGTGGTAAAGAAGAGTGCAGTATGAGGACTGCCAGTGCGATGCTGAGTTAGACCACAGAAGTAAAGATGAGTCCTTTCAACAAGAACTCATGTATTGGCTGTTGTAGCTGTAATCATAGAACCACAGAATCATAGAATGGTTTGGGTTGGAAGGAACTTTAAAGAGAATGTAGTTCCAGCCCTCTTGTCATGGGCAGAGACACCTTCCAGTAGAAACCTCCTACAACGAATGGGGACTTCACATTGTATGATAGCTGCTGCATCAAATGTCCATCAGAATTTCTATCATCTACCACTCACATTTGCACAAGGGAGAGCAAACGGTATCTTATCTGAGGTTCTGTCTATTTCAATTTAAGTGTATTCGAAGGGCATTTTAGCTCAGTCTTAAGCTAGGTTTCCATTCATACATCTCTATGTGAAATGATCCATTTGACTGAAAATATATTATACCCATATGGAAGTGAGGACTACTAGAAAAGTCCCTCATTTGTAAGTCAACATAACTACATTATAGTAAACTATGAAATGTGCTAGCTCTATTCACAGAATCACATA